AGTTACGAAGTATTATTTATGTTGCACGGGGTGATCTTTTAGGCTAAAAAATTTAGGACCCTCCATCCCTATAAAATAATCTTCTCGCTTCTTTATTAGACTAATTCATAAGTTAAGTTCAGCCGGGACCCATCGTTGTGGACCTTGAGGGGTGCCTAACACCTTCCCCTTGAGGTAATTTCGAGCCCTTACCCGATCTATGGTGACGTAAACTGGTAACATGAGTTATCTGCTCTAGGTGCCCTAACGCACCTTAATCTGTTAGGTGGAGACTCTTTCAATTCCATTCCCTACCCTCTAAAAAAAAGTTGTCCCAAAAATGTCGAAACCCGATTTCGCGAGAAAAAAGGAGGCGCGACACCACACCCCTATGCAATGCAAGAACCAGATCAGGCAGAAGCAGTTATGGAGGAGGAGATAGGAGAACCCCTCAACCTAGGATCAGAGCAAGTTCTAGAATTCTCAAACCTAGACGGGGTAAAAGTGTATCTCTTCACGGAGATGCAAGGGAAGAGGCATGTACTGAACTTCCCCCTAGCACTTTACAAGTGCTCGATGGATATCAGGCCACCCCAAGATCTAACAGTGGGCAACAGAGCCATGATCCTAGTTCCATCTCTAAAAAGGAACCTTGTCTTTCTGGGAGGGGTGAGGGAGAATGGAAACTCAAAGAACATGAACCTAAATCAATCAATGAATCGTCCAACTAACTTCATCATCTGGAATGTAAGAGGGGGAAATAATGACAACTTTAGAAGAAATCTTAGGGAAATGGTAGACACTCACAGGCCATGCATGGTTTACTAGAAACTAGAATGATAAATCATGAGCAAATGCTTAATGATTTTGGCTTCTCGGAGCTGATAGAGGTACCAGCAGAAGGTCAATCAGGTGGTACGGTAGTTATGTGGAATCATGAAGTGTTCATTGTCCACAACTTCACCCTTAGGAACCAAGAGATTCATGCAACAATTGAGGTACTTCCTATACGTAAAACTTGGTTATTCTCTTCGATTTATGCTAGTATTAACTACCAATATAGAAATATTAAGTGGGAAAATCTAGAAAACATTTATAAAAATTATAAAGGCCCATGGATGATCGGAGGAGATTTTAATGACATCTTAGGCTCAAATAAAAATTTTTGGGGGAGACATATAAACAACAATCGGGCAGATTATCTATTGTCAAAAATTAACAAGTGTAACCTTAAGGACATGGGCTACAAAGGCTGTAAATATACGTGGTCAAACCATAGACATAGAAATAAAGGCCTTATTTTTGAAAGATTAGACAAAGTCTTAGGAGACGAAGAATGGTGTGAGTTTTCCAAATTGCTCTATAATTCATCTGCCAAAAACTTATTTCGACCATAATCCTATTTTAGTAGAACTAATTCCTAGAAATAGACAAGGCCATATTAGACCCTTCCGATTAGAAACTTATTGGTGTAGACATCCGGAATTCCAAACTCTTGTTAGAAAAAATTGGCATGGTACTGACTATTGTTGTGTCAGCAAAAATTTTATAGATAGTATTAAGCCTTGGAAAGACAAGACGTTTGGTGATATAATGGGAAAAAAAAGGAAAATATTAGCAAGGCTCCAAGGTATTCAAAACTCCACGAACTATACCCATAGTACTTTCCTTCAAACATTAGAATGCAATCTTAAAAATGACTACAATGACATCCTTAAGATAGAAGAGGATTACTGGAAGGTGAGATCTAGAATAACGTGGCTTAATGTAGGGGATGCAAATACAAAAATTTTCCATATATCTGCCTCAAATAGAGGAAGAAAAAATAAAATTACCTTCGTTAAGGATGAGGCTGGAAATTGGATTAATGACCATCATTTGATCATGTCTCACGTATTAAGTTTCTTTAGAATATTTTTACCACTTCCCACTCATCTACAAATTGGATTGATATAAAGGGAAAACACTCTAGTCATCCCAAAATAGAACTTAATTCACTAGGCAACCTACTTTTAGACGGTGAGATCAAGAAGACTATCTTCTCCTTCAAGCCTTCCAAAGCTCCGGGGCCGGATAGCCTTCACCCATTTTTCTTTCAAAGATATTAGAACATCATAGGACACTCTGTCGTGAATCTTTGACATGATATTTTTAGAAAGCAGGAAATTCCTAGTGAATTAAATAGAACATATCTCTGCCTTATCCCAAAAATGCCCAATGCTAATAATATTAAAAATTTTAGACCAATTGGCCTTTGTAACACTATTTACAAAACAATCACTAAAATTCTTGCTAATCGTCTCAACCATTCTTAGAACAAATTATTAGTCATTTCCATGCTAGTTTCATGAAAAATAGAAGAGCCTCGGATAATGCAATCATCATTCAGGAATTAATTTCCAATCTAAAAAGAATAAAAGGCGAACAAGGCCATATGATCTTAAAATTTGATCTGAAAAAGGCCTTCGATCGAATAGAATGGTCCTTTGTCTACCGCACCCTAAGATACTTTAATTTTCCTCCTAAATTCTCAAAACTCCTACTTAGCTGTATTTCAACCAGCTCTATAGCAATTTTTGTTAATGGCTCCATCACAAAAATTTCAAGCCAAGTAGGGGGATAAGACAAGGTGATCCTATATCACCTTATATCTTCATCCTATGTCTAGAAATGTTGTCTAGATATATTGACCATCAAGTTGATACGTATAATTGGGATCCTATTACTATAGGAAGAAGAAGCCCTAGTTTTTCACATCTATTTTTTGCTGATGACTTGACACTAATGGCAAGGGCGAATAACAAATCGTGTCAAGCCATTAAAACAGGCCTTGATTATTTTTGTAAACTGTCAGGCCAAAGCATAAATAGTAAGTCAAAAATCCTTTTTTCAAAAACCACCCTTCTAACACTATGAATAACATTACAAATAAGTTAGGCAAAAAAAAGTGAGACCTTCAGTACCTACCTGGGTTTTCCAATATTAATGAAGAATCCAAAATTGACGGATTATCAATTTATAATTGACAAAATGAGAATAAGACTTGCCTCCTGGAAGATGAGATTTATTAATATAGCAGGAAGAACTACTCTAGCCCAATCATGCCTAAACTCCATACCAAACCACTACATGCAATACAGCCTCCTGCCAAAAAAGACCCTTAAAAATATTGATAAAATCCAAAGGGATTTTATATGGGGTACAACTGTGGAAAAGAAAAACATTCACCGTGTAAAATGGTCTAGTGTCTGGTAACCTAAATCCACTGGAGTTTTAGGTATCCATATGCCAATGCAAAAAATATGTGCAACTTGGCTAGTCTGGTATGGAGATTACTCACACATGCCACAACTCCATGGGCAAGACTTATTATTACCTTATATGGGGTGAATACTTCTAAATTAAACCACTCCTTCATTTGGAAGGACATTTTAAAGGGGTGGAAAATATGTGCAAAAGGGATTACATGGTCACCATACTACAAATCAAATTTGAACATATGGGACACAAGTTGGATCCCCAATAAAAAAAAACTCAGAAATTCAATCGAAGGCCCCCTCTCGATTAGTGACTACTCCCTCAAAATTAGAGAAATATACATTGATCACCAATGGGATCTCACTAAACCATCGATTGATATCCCTAGTGACATCAAAAGAAACATTTTTAAGGTAAGAATTCGATCCAAGGGTCCACCAAGAGATGTTCCTATATGGTCTCTAACTACTAAAGGGATTTTCACTACTAAAACTTGATATAACCTAATTGAACCCCCTTTCAGTAACCAATTGGATTATGCTTGGGTTTAGAGTTTATCTTGTCCAAACAAGACAAAAATTTTCTTATGGCAATGCCTTCATAATAAAATCTCATGCAGAAAATACCTAGCTCATATAGGAATTAATATAGACCCCCGGCGCCCTATTTGTGATTCAAGAGAAGAAGAAACAACCACTCGTATTTTCTTTGAGTGTAAAACAACCAAACCCTTTTGGGATAATATGGGACGGTCAAATTTTTATAATCCAACAAGTGATTGGCTTCTCCAAATAAAAAATTTTGATTCCTCATTAAGAAATTAGTATATTAGGTGAAACTCCTTCTTTCCATTGGCCCTTTGGCATATATGGATAAACAGAAATTCTAATAACCAAAACAACACAAGCAACTCCATTAACATAAACTCATTATTCAAAAGGCTACAGAATTCACACTTCTTACTGAAAATAGCTTTGTCTCACTAAAGAAATTTTGCAAGTTAAATGGCAGAAACCTCCTAAGGGCTGGTTCAAATTAAATATTGATGCTAGTTTTAAGGACAGCTATCAAAAAAGTGGCCTTGGAGGTGTATTCCGCAATACAAAAGGATATTGGGTGGTTGGCTTTATAAAATCCATATATGCAAAAGGTTCATTGGAAGCAGAAATTAAAGCACTGCTGGAAGGGCTTCAAACAGCTCATGAATGGGGAATGTTCCCGCTAAAAATAGAAACAAATTGCAAGAAGGTAATCCAATCTATACAACACGGCAATAGACTATATGACGATCTTATTAATGAATGCAGGTTATTAATACACCAGGAGAAGGTGGTGCTCCTTCGGCACGTATTCAGGCAAGGGAATAATGTAGCACATCAACTGGCTAAGGAGGCAAATGTTCAAACAAAAGGAAAAAAAGTTTTTGTACTACCTCCTACTTATGTTGAATCTTTTGTAAGGAATGAACAAGAAGAACAATGTGTCTTTGTGAAGTACCTAGCTCATGATGCTTGCAAAATATTAGCAAGCTTAGGAAATCAAAGTGTCCTAAGTGACAAACTATGACTATGATGTACCAAGTATTACGTAGCTTTTAATATAAATATTTCCTGTTTGCTCAAAACAAAATACGATGTCACTAATAGCCATTAACGAGAAAAATAGGAGAAAGCCTCAACCAGCTCAATGCAAGACAAACATTCCTAATCCAACATGTATTTTTTTTTTTTTTCAATTAAAAAAACTCAGCACGGAGACGTATAAGTACAAAAGAAAGAAAACTATCTGAGTTTTATTAAAGTTTTAGGATGAACAGGACATATGAACACGCTTCCAAGTTTAAATATAAGCATAAGTGCAGAAACCTACACACATTTCACTATTAAGTGTTTATGGAATAAGATCCCAAACCATAGATTCTCAAAAGTGGCATCATTTATCCGCAGCAAGAACCACAGGCAGGAAGAGAGCCTGCAGTAGGAAAAAATTTAATGGTTAAATAACAGCAGAAATTCTTATAAAATAATAGCGCTCTGAAAAAATTTTAGGAGACGGCATTTTGGAAAATTATTTTTAACATTTTATGCAAAAGCGTAAAATATGTTTGGATAGTTGTAAACTTTATGTACACTGAGAAAATACCGCAAAGCCTTCTCCAAAAAGGTTTTTGCATACTTTCATAGGAACTTTTCATAAACAAATGCCACCAAATTAAAGATCGAAACAATGAACATACTGTGGTCAATGCCTCGGACATTATCCAATCCACGAGGTGGCCCACGTGGACCACCACCATATGGACCACTTCCAGGGCCTCCAGGACCGCCCCCATCCCACTTCTTACTGGATCCTGAACCTTTTCTGTAGGCATCTGTTTTTTCCATCTATGAAGGCATTGAGGTAGTTAATAAATAGTCTACAATAGCATGATAGTAGTATCTATGTGGTTCTTAACCAGGAAACTGAACATCCTTACCGAAAACATAGTTGCAAAAAACACGCTAATGAAGTTGATGATGGACCAAAAGAAATCAGTGATAGTCTTCAATCGCCATATAGAACGTTTGGATTTTACCACACCTGCAACATGAAGTGCTTGTATTAGAAGAGTTCTCTCACAATATCGTAAGTTAGCATATGTATCCAAACACAGATGCATGTATAAATGTTTCCCTGTACAGACTACATTTATCAATAAGGAGTCGAACCGACAGAGACATGACTGGGCAGCTTGATTTTCTAAATGACTTGGATCCAGAGAAGAAACTTAAGTTTTTTTCTAGCAAGAAGCTGAGGAAGGTCAACTGAATCAGCTAAAAAAGTGCTTAGCATGCAACTCAGAAACATTGTTGCTCTTATGCAACTTTATATTTCAATGAGTTTAACCATGTAAACAACCAATCTACTAGGTCTCAATCTCAAAAGTTGGAGTCAGCTTTATTTGAGCCCATTTCATTTGAATACCATAGTATATAGTTTGTTTTCAAAGATAAGGGGTTTTATATAACAAAAAGTTGTCCAAAATCTTGTCCTTATTTGGACCTACCAACCAAGCCTCAACTCTCAATTGTTGGTATAGTATATGAGTCCTTTACTTTCACGTTGCATTATACTATTAGTTAAGTCTGCAATTATTACAGAGGGATAGGAGGACTTTGAGATAATGTCGGTGGTGATTTTAGATCTACATCCTCCCACTTCAGCAACTTCAATCACCATATTGTGCACCTACAGACTGCTACATTTGAAGATCCGCATAGTACATGGCCAAAAACCATCTCATCTCACATTCTCTCATTTTATTCCCTATCTCTATAACTCTATTATTTCCATTTTCTGACTAATATGATCGTTTCTAATAATGTGCATTGTATGAACACACAATCATCTTAACATCCACATAGTTACAATCTTCATCTTGTGGATACATCTCATTCCCTTGCAACATCACCAGTCTAACATTTGTTTCTATAAAACTTGCCTTTCACTCTGTCAAGTATCTTCCTACTGCACAGCACTCTTCCAGCACTTCTTCATTTCATTAATCTGCTTTAATTGTATGTGATTCACACTCATCTATCATGTCATTCTCCTAGTAAGCTAAACCTATATATCTGAATTGTCTTCATTGAGAAACCACAGCCCCATTTAATCTTATTTCACCTTTCTTCTGATGGGGGCTAAATGAAAGTGTGTTCTATCTTGGACCTACTTATTCTAAAGTAGCTGTGGAATAAAAATTATACGAAAGTCAGTATTTCGAACAATTCCATTTCCAAAAACCTTGATACAGCTATCTCTCTATGCATTACCTAACAAGTTACAATTATCTATGGTGCTTTTACTATGACCTTATGAAGTTACTCTAAGAATTTACCTCCACATACCACTACTAGATTGCTTCGGTTCATGGAATGGGAACGAGTCACAACTTAATACTAGATCTAAAACAAAATTTGCACGGAGAGGTCTCTTTAGATCATATGACATACCCATTAAGAAACCTTATTTCTTAATCATTTCTCAAGAGAGAGAACTTAAAATAGTAAAATTAATAGGAAATGATTATTAGAATCATGTTTTCCTTGAGTTCATTCACTTAGAAACAAAAGGCACTGATAAATTGTAAAACAGAAATTGAATCACTAAGTTTAGCATTCCAAGTGGCTATTAATCATTTCCAGAATGGTGAAATGCAATTTGGTGTTCATTAGGGTTTACCAAATCATAACACCAGCATCAAACAATATAACTTTTCGGGTTGATTTCCATTTTGTGGGCACGGGGTGGAATACTCCAGGGTCCAGGCCAGATAACTGAATCCCCAAATTTATAACTCATAGAGTAGCTTATTAATGTCGGACAAAAGTTCTACGGTAACAAACATTAGAAGAATTTGGATTTGGATCTAAAGAGGCTCAATTGAACAAGAAGATCACAACTTCAACTGAATTAAGCAAATTACCCTTTCAATTGCAACAATATCAAGGATGTGACAAAACAAAAACTACGCAATTGATTACAACCCCAAATTTTTGTTTTACCTCAGAAATTCAGAAGAACTTAGCAAAACAAAAATTATTTCCATGAAATAACGGAAAACTTGGAATTTGTAAGATATCACGAAGGAAAGAAGAAAAGAAATCCCTAGCAATTCCAATCAACAAGTAAATATAATAACGAAACTAAAGGAATTAAGGATGAAATTGATGGAATTGTCGGAACAAAAGGGTGGTTAATTTTACCTCTCTCGACGTAAGCCATGGTTTGTTCCTCTTGCAGAATACCAGAGGGTCGTCTTCTCAACGCGCTTAGCTTTTATCAGTGGTTCGTCTCTCTTTTTCTCTCATGTTTTTTTCTTGTTGTACGTCGGCTCAGCAAATAGTAGGTTGCCACGTCATCAAGTTTTCTTTCTTTTCAAAAGCAAGTTACCTGGAATTGTATCTAATCTTCCATAAGCATAAAAAAACAATTAGTTATATTAGAATTTTTATTTCAACCAAACGTGAAATAAATAATTTCGAGATTAATTATTTATCCTTAGTACCAAATGAGACTTGATTCTTTAGATTTTCTAAAATAGAATTACTTAATATATTAAAAAACAACATAAAATATAGTACAAAGTATTTAGAAACAATTTCAAAAACTATGGTAAAAACATTTGGTTTGCCCCCTAAAATAATTCTCCGTTCGTTTCCAACAGTTTTTATTTTATGTATTTAGTCTGTTTTAAAAGATTGATACATTTATATATTAGAATATAATTTAATTCTAAATTTTTTGTTTTACTTTGAAGTTTTTATGAATATTATAAATTTTATAATTCTTTATTGTTTCTTAAATTTTATGTCGAGCTAAACTACGTCACATAAATTAAAAAGATACAAATTTCCATGACAAATACAATAACATAGTGGTATTTATTTATTATACTAGTCTTAGGTTACGCGCGTTACGCGTGTATCTAACTTAATAAATATAACTTCTTAAAAATTATGCAAATATTATATTTGTGTTATGACATAAAAGCTAAAATAAGTATCAGATAAGTGAAGAATAGTTAAATTAATAGTAATTTAATTAATTTGACTCTTAATATTATATTATAACCAAATTTTCTCTTATTCTTTGATTTCTTTTGTTGCCGATTCTCTTCTTAAAGGCATAATTTAATTACATATTATGTCAATATGAAAAATAATTTTATTTATATGATAAATGTGTAAACGAATTAAATTGAATTACTTTATTAATAGTTAACTCAAAGACGTAATTATTTATTCTCACATAAGAAAATATTTTATTTTCTTGTTGATTCGAATTGTTAGTCCTAGCTCATACCAAATTTTAAATATTTAGTAATTATTATTTTATCTAATAATATTATATTTTTAAATGGTAAGAAAATTATCAATAGTTTTATTTTTGACTTTTAGTGTTTGCGGATCTTAATTTTGGAAAATAGAAAAATAACGATATTTTCGCTAAGGACGTCTTGCTTTTAATATAATAAAGAAAAGTTGGGCGTTATTTCAATGTAACCATAACTTAAGATGTAACTATAAGTTAAGTTTGTCGATATATTTTTATCTTTACATTACGAATATGGATTCCTCGATCAGACTTGTTATAAATTGCCGTAAAAAATATTTGTATGAGCTGAAGATGAAATTATCATCTTTGCCGAAGACATGTCAAGAACCTAATACACAATATATCAAAATAACAATAGTCTAACTTCCATTTAATATTTAATAATTTGTGGTCGTATTCCAAAAGGAATCAGCCTTTGGAATAAGTTTTAATCTCATCACAATTGTTACTTGAAAGTTTTTCAATTATTGTAAATTTAACAGATCCTTGTCAGATTATAATAATATTGTAGAATATTTTTATTAGATTTATTAATCGTTGTGGAATTTAATTTGGGTTACGAACTTAAAGGATTCGGTCAAGTTGATTTTTGAAGTCGTAAAATTCAACATGGAATTACTCTACGAAGGAATAATTTGTGCTTTTATATACGAAGTGTTGGATATATAAAGAAATAATTCAAGAATGTATGTGTATAAAAACGTTCCTAAAATTACTAAGTAAAAAAAGGTATACATTCCTAAGATACCTAACCTAAATAAAAAAGAAACATATTAATTGATTCTGAATTCTAAATATTAGGAAAATTATTAAATAATATATTAATTGATTCGAAGTCCAAAATAGAAGGAAAATAATTAAATGTCTGTTTTATCTAGTGCGAAATCTATTTATAAAGGTTAAAAAAGGCAAACGGCATTTCGCTAAGAGCCTTCGTGCTTGTTGCACGTTACTAATGGCACATGATAGTTTAAATATTTATTTATATAAAGGAACAATAATATTTAACTAATGAGAGAAAATTTATATATAATAATACAACAATCATCTAAGTGCCAAAAATATTGTTACATTAGCATAATACATGCATTCAAAATAAATGGACATCATCAGAACTTACACAAATGATCAATGTTAGTCATGTTAAGTAGATAATTATGTATTGTAGTTTAAAGGCATCTAATGTGATGGTATCTTACCGAACACTTCTTTATAGACGATGTATTTTTGTATATGTTTCCTTCTATTGCTTTGGTTGCTCTGCGATAACCAGAACTCTTGTTGTCGATATTGATATCTCTCTTGAAAGTGCAACATACAGTTATTCGTTTAAGAAAATATATTGTTGTAAATATAGTCCATTATTTAGGATGTTTGTTCCTGTGCTTTATTTATTATAACTACAAAACATAAACATACTGAAAATTATTTTCACACAAATTTTAAAGGATATTCTTTTATTTCGGAAGACAAAAATTAAATTCGGGGATAAACACATACTTAGAAGCACATTGACCAATATCATAAGTTCTGCATGTATGATGTTATTGTCAAAACTTCTATATACAATACGTGTACTATTACAAAAGCTATTCAAGGGATCTAAGTTTTCAGTAGCATGACGGACATATTTTTCTTCAAAATCAACCTATATGCAATGGAAGATCAATTTTAACTTAGTCTATTATATATATATATGGTGACACTAACATGCATAAGAAATAATGAACTTGACAACAAACATGTACGGTAAAGACCATTTAGTATTAAAGTATTTAAGTATTATTCTTGTTTGGAATTGTTGGTATCATCTTCTGCCGAGTCAAAACTGAAAAAGATTTTATTTTTACCATAAAAACTTAGTGATCAACCTTTTATTTAGTTGGTCAACATATTCATTTTTGCTAGCTAAGATAGCTATTTAATTTCTATCATATAAATTGCACATATTGCATTTTAATCTAATGATGAAAATATTTTCCTTATTAAATGCACTACTATTTCCATTGGAGTTGATAATCAAGTGTTATAGAAGAACCAAATCATCTTTTATTGGATGATCTTTTTCGTTTCCGACACGAAGCAAGAAGTCACTAAATGTTGGATCTGTTCTTACTTTTATATTTCTTGTCATTTGAATATTTTTCAATTGAGGCCATAAGTATAATTTTGGCAAGTTAGTTTTTACAGTTTCTGCTTTCGTCAATTTTGGAACTATTGATCGTGCTTGACAAAAAATTACCTCCGAAACTGTTAACTTTTCACCAAATGGTTCATTGAAATCCAATATATCTCTAAAACTCTGGGCGATTGTTTCTGTCATTTGATGCTTAGCCAAAGCACTTCATCCCATATTATCACTTTTGTTTTCCTTATAAATTTAACACTATTGCTATGATATATTTCTGAAGGTTATTTCAATTATTTGAAGAGGTATATCAAATCTAACGTGAGTAGTACGACCTCATAATAAAATCATTGTTGGTACACCACTTGTTCTTATTGCTAACAATAGCATGCATCTTGATATAACAATTTGCAAGTAATGCATGTCATATAATGTTATTTTTGATTCTGTGGAGGCATCTACAAAGGATAATCTCGATATACCAGAGCAGACTTTTTATAATATAGTCTTGAAAGCTTATTCTTGATTAGAGTTTAGCTTTGATTGTGCTTCTTCAAACACTTGTATGGCCTTCTTAATACTATACTATTCTTTTTTACTTTATGATATATTTGTTTTTTTAATCTCTAACACTCTTTTATGGAATAAACTTATGTACCATAAGATTTTTTTTTAACTCAAAAAATAATATTACTCATATGATGAATTTAAAAAATAATTTAATTGGATTCTTTTGTTGAATAATTAATTGAAAGATTTAATTATTTTGTTTTAATATAAAAATAATTTATTTTCTGTTGATTCAGATTCTTAATATTAGTTCATCTCATGTTTGAATATTTAACCGTAAATATAGTTTTATCCATCATACATTTTATTTTTAAAGAGTAAAGATATTGATATGACATTCCACTTTTAGATGTTTATGTTTGCAACATTATTAGGGGTATTGGCTCATACCAATCTTTTTTTCTCACATATTTATATTCTTAAATTTCTTAGTTGTCCTTTAATAATTGGGTATTTTTCTATATTATACAAAAAATTACTAATAAAAAATATTATTTGAGTAGGAAAGCGGTTAAAATATAATATAATAATATATTATCGTAGGAGTTTTTTTTTCTCAATTTTAATGCTTATGCAGTCCGTTTAACATTATTTTTATTTTTTCTTGATATGCAATAGAGTGGTAATGTATTGAGTTATTTATTAACGCATGTATTTTCTCTTAAAAATTGGTTTCCTAATTATCCATCAAATCATTAATACATATTTACTTTTAATTAGACACATAATTTTTTAAATATTTATAGTATCGATGGAGGTAATTTCGAGATAATGAGATTGAATTCTGACACTACCATGATTGCTAACTTGTAGTATTATATGTCTATGCCTGAAAATAATTATATTAATATGATTCCTAAAGATAATTATGAAGGATTTCTAACGTGTAGTATTATGTCCTAAAAACTAATAGGATTGCAAGGCTAATATCTAGAATTCCTGTTATATCCTTTTACTATAAGTTATTATGCTTAATATTATAAGGTTATTTTTGTAAACCGACATTGTATTCATGATTTTATAATAATACTAGTTTCTATGAACGTGCGTTGCACGTTGCTGATGACAGGAGCGGAGCTAGAGTACTTTTAATGGGTTCGGCCGAACCCAGTAGCTTTGGTTCGAACCCTGCATTTATCTTAAAAAATTATTAAATATATATAAATTATTAATTTAGAACCCAATAACTTAAAATATTTAAAATTTTGAACCCATAAACTTGAAATTCTGGCTCCGCCTAAGGCTAATGACACGTAATGATTAAGGCAACTTTTGT